TAAGAGCCTAGATATAATCGATATTTCAAAATATACCGTACTTATTTCTTATACATAGAATTCTATGCTCTAAGAATAGTGTCAACAAAGAGTTCCATCAGATCCAAAGAAGTTATCTCGAAAATCAAGCTGTATGTCATAATTTTACAAGAATTATGTAAAACACTTAAAAATTATACATTTGATTTCATATGCGTTCACGAGAAAAAGTTGGAAGGTCAATGGTTACAATATACTTTTTTCCGGCCTTTTTTTATTGAAATTATACAAAATAACTATGTTATTATGAAATAAAAGTCAAAATTTCAACGAAATGTCTTAAAAACAAACGGAGTTATTAATACACTAATTTAAATTTTACACTAGCGTGTAAAATAAATATAGCGCTACACCCTGTATTTACACATTAATCTGAAAAAGTAGTATTCCTATGTATTGTCTGTTTAGTAATAATACGTTATGAACAGTAGTAGAAAAAACAATTTGCAAGCATTACATAAATAGTTCTGTGAAATGAATTCGAATGAATAATGGATATTATAGCTGTTTTCCAAGTCTCGGATTCTGTTAACTGTCTAACTTATAATGCAGCGAATATGCTGTCGACTGAATGTTCCAAATTAGCTAACTAGATGGATATTACATTGGTCTATAATAGAACACTATTTGATAGCTGAATAGACATTCTCTTGAACGGTTTAATCTCTGGTAAACAGAACGTATCTACGAGTTGAGAATTGACAGTAGATATACGGGTCCACTAACAATAAGAAAGAAGTTCTAGTTATATGAAGCGACTTCTCTAGACAGCGTAGTGAAAGACGTCAATTTCTAACTATTTGTAACCTATTTCCCATTTCAATTCATCGCATTAAATTTTGATGTACCAAGTAACCAAAATGTCGTCAAAAATATCTAATTTAAAACCTTCTGTTCATTGGTTTATTCGGTTACATAGAACATAATACATGTTTTAGTTACTTAAATCATTTAGGCGACCCCAAATAAAGTGTAAAAAAATTAAGAATTGATTCTACTCATAAAAATAATTATTATTATTTAAATAGATATTTTAGCCCAACTTGTCTTGTTTTTTTCACTTGGCTTTGTTATTTCTCAAAATATAAAAAATCTGAAAAATCTGGTGGATGATCCTCGATCCACCAACTGTTTGCGAGAAAAATTGCATTTAATGTTTTGAAGTACTTTTAAAAACGGTTAAAATTGATCAGTCACTTTTTATACTAAGCACTAAAGTCTGTTAAATAAAATAGTAAAATTTGAAAATAAAGATAATAATTTACCTAGATTTGAACGGAAAACATAATATGTAGTTCCTGCCATAAAGCAATAAATGTTATCTTTCTTGGCATCAATTAACGTTGTCGAAAAGAGGATTCTTTAATAATTTTTGGAAAGCTGCAAACAATACCATTCTGTCCAATTATCCACTCAATAAGGGTCTTTTAAGTCATTTATGGTTTTACATTTTGATGATTTTGTCATTGACAGATGTAGTTTGTTACCAATAATAAGTGTAGAAGAAATAAGTTATAATATGGCAAAATATCAATTAAAAATAATAAATTTGATTTTGTGTAACCCCGTTAAAATTGAGTTTTCGAAAAAGGTCACAGGAACTTGTAACATTATACTTATGAATAGAATCACTCTTCATCTTTTATCATTTTATTTACCACCATTCCCCAATTTGTATAACATGTGTTTTCCTTTTAGGTTCAAATTTTCGATTACGAAAATCGCTATACTCTGTTTGGAAATGAATAAGAGTAATAAAACCCTGAGATAAGAACCGGCCATGGGCGTGCTAATATTTCGTTTCAGGTAATTATCGGGTAACACTAATGCTAACAGGTAATGGGTGTACATTAGTATATTTTACTGGATACATCATAGGGCAGGAGCCAGTGTATTGTGACAGATCAATCCAGTCTTAGAGCTGAATATACGAAGACGTGCTAGTGCAGTAGAGTAAAATTCGACTTGTGTTTAGTGACTATTGTGCCAGTGGATATAATATTGTTTGGGTAAAATGTCGAGCTTATCAGATTACGTACCTGCTAAACGCGTGAAAAGATGTGCGCTGTCTCAGAATGAGAAGATTATTATATTAAATGTATTTAATGCATTGAAACACCAAAATCCTACCAACAGTGTTGACGACATCGTGGAAAAGTGTTCCAAAATGACAGGGATTGGAAAATCGACTATCTACAGACTTTTAAAGGAAACAAAAAATGAACAAGATACTGTAAATCCCCCAAAATCATCTACAGGGAGGTCAAAAGTCGTTATAGATGATTTCTTCAAAAATGTCATTCGCAGAAAAGTACACTCATTTTATTTTAAAAAAGAAATACCAACGCTAAACAAAATTTTAAGTGAACTTTCAGAGGACAACGATTTGCCAAAAATCAGTAGAAGCAAATTATGGGCCGTCTTACGAGAGTTGAATTTTTGCTGGGAAAAGCAGAACAGGAAGTCAGTTCTTATCGATAAAGATGAAATTATTTGTTGGCGAAGATCCTACTTAAGATCAATTAGAAAATTCCGTGACGAAGGGAGGAATATTTATTATCTAGACGAAACTTGGGTCAACGAGGGATATACTGTAACAAAAGTATGGCAAGATAAAAATGTAAAAAGTTTTCGACAAGCATTTTTGGATGGACTTTCAACAGGGTTCAAGGCACCTTCAGGTAAAGGGCGAAGATTAATAGTGACACATATAGGTAGTGCCAGTGGTTTTGTAGATGGCGGTTTACTTTTATTTGAATCTAAAAATACAGGTGACTATCACGAAGACATGAACGCAGATGTTTTCGAAGAGTATTTTACACAGATGTTGGATCTTATTCCTCCGGGGTCTGTAATTGTCATGGATAATGCCAGTTACCATTCACGGCAGACCGAGCGGACGCCTACGACTGCTTGGAGGAAAGCCGATATAATTCAATGGTTATCCGGAAAAAACATTTCTTTTGAAACAAATATGGTGAAAAAGGAACTTTTGACACTTGTCAATCTTAATAAAGATCAGAAAAAATATGTTATCGATGAAATGGCAACAAATCGCCAAATAACGGTACTACGGTTACCACCTTATCACTGTGAACTTAACCCAATCGAATTAGTCTGGGCGCAGGTAAAAGGAGATGTAGCGCGAAATAATACGACGTTTAAATTAAGTGACGTGAAAATTTTGTTAAAAAATTCCTTGGAACGAGTAACTGCAGATAACTGGCAAAGATGTATACATCATGTACAAAAAGAAGAGGAGAAAATGTGGGAACTCGATAATTTAATTGATATTACTGTGGAACCTATCGTTATCAATCTAGGAGACGAAGATATATAATTCATCAGAATATTCAGAGGATGAATTTTTTATTTTCTTTATTGTACATTTATACAACACTACATTTACTCACCATAATTTGAATTTTCAAAATACATATATTTTTGTGTGGAATAAAAGTCTATTCATTAAATTTAAATAAATATTTTGATAATAATATTGAATAATTTTATTTGAATTACTGAAAACCCTCTTAACCCGGTTATGATGCTTAAAGTAGACTCGTGTTTTGAAATGCTGTTTTTATGTTGTTTACTTATAAGAGAAATGGACCGAGAAATTGAAGCGGCATAGACAAAGACGGATTGTCGGGGATTAAATTTTAGCTACCTGCTACAATTTAGTACAGTCCGATCGCACAAAGTTTTGTTAAAAGTAGACCTCATCTATACGGAAAATACATAATATTTATAAAAATATTGAAATAAGCACCAGTACTACATTTATTTACGATTTGTAAACATAATGAGCTTTTATTACTCTCTTTCATTTCTAAACAGACTATAACCACAAAAACTGTAATTTTATTGATATAGTTCAATAAATAAATCTACCCATTTCTAAGTTATGATCCACCAGCAGTGTTTTTTTAGAATGAAAGTCGTAGTGTTATAAATGTAACTTTATACGTATATATCATATTCATCGTTCCATATTTTGTTGTTTAAAATATTTATCAAATTCGATCGTATGCATTTTTAAAACTCTATTATTTTAATGTCCATTGTTTTTTTATCAACTTCAAAAATTCCATACTAATGGTTTCTAAATTAAAATACGTAAGTTAATATAATGCGTACGTTTTATCTCGAACTTCGACTTCTTTGTAAACGTAACACGGCAGATGGAAAATTTCTGCAGGAGGATACATAACTGATACATTAGACAATAAATAAATAAATATCGCATATAAAATTTTATAAGGAAACTTCAGTTTACTTTAATTACTTAAATAAATGGGCTAGTAATGATCGCTACTAGTCCTTGAAGAGAAGATTATTTCGCAAGCTATTGTCATTTCGATAAAAAATTGGTGTGTATCGGAATTTTTCTTACAAATTAATACCCAGAAAAATTAATTTATGCTCTATTTCTTTACCACACTATATTATATATTCTAAATATTTCCTAAATGATTTTATTCAAGTCCTAAAAAGTAATATTGACCGTATTTTTCACCGTTCCAGATTTTTATTTAACCACCATCATTCCATGACATGTATAGTGAAATATTTTGGCTTAGTCTCTTTTTTGGTACATACTGAATATTAAGTAGATGCACCATTTTCATTTATTTTTAGTGTAGGAATAACCAATAGGAACTATTCAGCAACTTCTAATAGTTCTTGCTATAAAAACAATAACATTTTGATTTCAGTATTCATATAAAAAGTACTTTTCGTGATTAAGTGTTTGTAAAACTTTATAAACCTCTTCCAACTTTATTAATAAGCTTGTTAAGATGAAATAGTTTGATCCCGCGTATTTCATAAGGGTTCTCATAAACTTTCAAAACTTTTAAGAGAGAATAGCCCTTAATTCCATTCACGTTCTTAATTTAGAAGTTTAGCGAGTTTAAAGATTAATATAAAAACACAACTTACATGGAAACTATTGAAAATCATAGAAACGACTCGTGCGCAGTGTCCGTTTCAGGAACTTTGATTTCTTCTCCGTCCGCTTCAATGTATTCCACTCCCTCCTCGTAGTCCATGTGACACCTATTTATATGGTGATCCGGATCTCCGTATTGACTATGATAGAACTCTTCTCTCATCATGTGGTTTAAGCTGCCACATCGGAAGTACAAAATGGCCTGGAAGGGTTTCCTAAAGTCTCTGTTGAGCGTTGCGTAAATTATGGGGTTGAGCAAACTGTTCGCATAGCCCAGCCACAGAAACAAACTACCTAACGTCTTTAAAGCGTTCGTGGTCTCTAAAAATGGCCGTACAAGTGCCAACACGAAGAACGGTAACCAGCAAAAGGTGAAAGCACTCATTATTATGCCCAGGGTAGTACTGGCCTTTCTCTCTTTGGCTAACTGAAACCGGAGTTTCTTTTGATTGCTGTTTGTACTTGGGGAGGTTTTTACGGTTGGGAGCAGTTTTTGCTTTGGTTGTTTGTTGGTCTGCTTGGCTGCTGACTTATTCGACAACATAGGGCACTGCGATTCGTTGCTATGCCTGGATTTGAAACAGCGTCCCAATGTCGTTTTATCCAGACTACACTGTAAATGAAAATAAATGTTAGTAAAGGTGAAGGAGAAATAAAAGATCTACAGTAAAATATTATCAGAACAGTCGAATGTAATTTATTAACGTTAATATTTTATGTAAAATTAAAATAAAATAAAGATAAATTTTCAAGATTTGGCGAGCGTAAGGTGAACTAGAAAAAGATATAATAAATATGCTCTAAATTACATGGATATTTAGGAATATACGAAAAAGTGTTTTTTGAAAGACTGTATACACGGTGTCCCATTTTAAATCACGCATTGCAATATTTTCTTAGGGAAGCACTTTCACGAAAAACTTTTTAGAAAAAAGTTGTAAGATTCTGAGGCAGACATTCCATAGTGACCTTGATACAAAGGTCAACTGTAGAGGTCATTTAAAGGCCAACTTGGATTTTTAGATATGATATACATATTTCTGACAACGGAAATGGATAGAGAGGAAAATTATACGTTCATATATGCCTTAATGATTCAAGTCAAATAAGGTTCTGAATAAGATTTTATAATATTTTTCTGGAAAGCATTTATAACGAAAGACTGTGATAGAAAGTTTTATAGTTTGTTGGGACCTAGAAGTCAAACTGATGGTACTTTGAAGGTCAAATCAAGTTACGAAATAGGAGATCCCTGTTTGCAGCCCCATTAAGTTAAGGCAAGACCGTTATGGCCCAATCAGTCAAGGCAAAATCGCTATAACCGGGTCAGTCGAGGCAAAGTCACTGAACCACCCCCAGCCGGGTTGAAGTGATCTTGCCTTGACTACATATTTAGTAATGCCAATATTAGTAGAAATAATTTTAATCATGTCATTACTAAATATGTATTAGCCTGTTATTTAACTAAATATTCCGATTTTTTCCAGTATTAAATAGTTAGTTTTGCATATTGCCATAAATATATTTGTTATATTTTTGATCACTTACATTCAGTAAAAACATTAAAAATGACTTTAGATTTTGTAATAAAAATAGCAGCGACGTATTTAAAAAAATGAACCTGATGATGGCCCTTCGAAGACGAATCCTCGGATTGCAAAAATGTTGACGCTAATGGATAGAGCGAAAAAAGTGGCAACGTAAGTGTGTAATTTATTTTAAAATTCGTTTTCAAATAAAGCCAGAAAAAAAAAATAAAACGATTTTGCAAAAAGCTTTTTCGTCTACAAACAAATGACATTCGTAGACTTAGGAAGTGTGTGGAGGCGGAAGGTGCCCATATTGAAAATGTATTTTGATAGTTTTCTTTCTTTTAAGTAATTTTTTTAACTTTGACTTATTCCCGTTTTTTTTTCTATTTTATGTTATGTGTAAAGTGGGTTTGTCAAATTTTGTTAGTGCAAATTACGTTAATAGGCAGTAAGATCTTCTAGGCCTTTATTTTAAAAATATGTACGGTTCTAACATAGTAATTATGTCCAATTAAAAATTAAAAACAAAAAATGGTGGAGGCGCCGCTCGATGTGCACTGTGATATAAAGTTACAAATATTTCCGAAACTGTTAATTTTTCCGATTTGAACCAAGATGGCATTATCGTTGGCAAATTCTTCGGGGAACTTATGTTTGACACAGTCGTTTTGCGATCGTCATCTACGCAAAAATTCTGGGTTGTTAACCATTGGGCATAGTCCGTCCCTGGCATTCTGGGCGTAACACACAGTTTCACATACAGCATCAAAAACAAACTGTACGCATGTGTTATCGATCACCAAATTTGTATCATGCTGAAGTTAATAGTTTAGAGACTGTAAATAAAAATAACTTTTTAATTTTCAATTTTGAGGGCCCGTAACTTGTTAACGAAGGACCGTATGAAAAAAAATTATATGAAGAAGTGATATTATTTTGACCTTATCTATTTGTACTCGACTTTTTTGTATCAAGTACCGGGACATCCTGTATAGATAAGTTAACGACGATATAGAAAAAATGGATTTCCAGCACACTTGATGGATTTTATTTTCTGTATTATTCCATCAAATATTTCCGACAGTGATCCAAGCGCCACTTCGAAGGAATTGACCCTTGTAGTTAATTCTCTTAACGAAGTATAAATCCCAGAATGGTGAAAAAAGTCGAAGGAAATTCAGATAAATAGAACATTTAGGGATGTTTTCTGTATTTCAGAAGACGGAAATAATTACCTACGTGAAGTTGAAAATTTTATTTTATCTTATGAAATTTATGATGTTAAACTAACCCGCTAATTATACTTACGAACAACTTCATTATGTTGCCTGAGTTATAATAACATAATCTGTTCTTTTCTGTGTTTTTTAAATAAAAAATTAAATACAATTATATAAAACAAAGGAAAATCCTCTCGCGCTTTCATTCTTTTTTATATTCCCTGGAATTTAATTAAATCTATCCTAATTAACTTTTTATGGCTGCAAAATCTGTAGAGTGCAAATATTTAAGGGAAACGATAATGATTTTCCGAGTTTTCTTCAGCCAGAGCCCTTGATACAAAGGAACACATTAATTTTCTAAATGAGGCAAGTTTTTAAGTGATAAGTGTCATACCAGACTTGGTTCACACTTTATGGTACGAAGTCGAACGAAATCTTCGCACAATATCTTTAGTTAATTAAATAAAAAGTGTTCTTTATAGAATACATTTCAATATAGAATAAATTATATCTGAGGGTTGCTTTCGCTGTATAGCAAGAATAAAACGCTCTCCCAACGGCAATAATAAAGTATTTTATTGAAAACTAGGTTGTATAGAAAAGACGTGTTGACGGGGTGAGTGTTCGTTGGAGAGTCCCTGTGTGTAGAGTCGGTCGTAGGTATATGAGTACGCATCTGGTCGCCGGCGCCAGTAGTTCGCCGTAGATCCTTCCTGGAAGGTTGGTGCGTCCGGCGGCGCTCTTGACGTAATGGTTAAAAATGGGTCGCTTGCGGCATGTTACCCACATATCTATATGAAATTCATTTGGAGTTTTTTTAATTTATGGCGTCAGGGCTTATTAAATTTAAGATATTAAAGAATTTATAAATTTAATTAGCTGTAAATGTGATTTTATCTAAGGAAAGAAAAAAAAACCAAGTCTAAAAAACTCTTCACTGCATTTCAACGAACAAAGGAATTCAGAATAGAATCAGGACCGTATTAACCTATGGTAAGGCCCGGGGCTGCAAGCTCTAGGGAGGCCCTTTTTCTAAACAAAAAAAAAACGATATAAAATTTCAAAACCTAGCACTTCGTTTGAACCTAGAAAATAAAAATTTATAATCTCCGGTATACTATAACTTTCAAATTTCTATCTGCATTTTTTTCAAATTAAAAATCTTATACATTTTGTATGGAGCGTTTTAAGAAACATATCAATATCTTTTTTTTTGCAAGATTTTCGTCCAAAAACGATACAAATAATTTTGAAAAGTACTTAAAATAGTAAATATTTTAATATTAAGAAAATCTGGGACAGCTTTACTAATTAAAGTATTTTTCACAACATTGAAAAAAGCTGAGATATCAAAAAGCATACCTAAATATCTTTACCTCAGAAATGAACCAAGAGCGAATTCATTAAGGTAACGTAAATTCAATACTGCAGCTGCATATTTTGTAACTACATTCATTAAACATACAAACTTGCGAACACCCTGTTTAATATTACACGAGGAGAATGAATTTAGTACAGAGTAATACGAATTTATTTTTTCATAAGATGTAAATTATGTTATAAAGGATTGACGTATATTATTCTGTTATTCGAGAGCTACACTATAATCAACAAGCTGCTACATGAGGCAAATCAAAACCAATTAGTTTTATTTTTCATTTCTGTGAAGTGCTATTAAATTTCATATTCATACGTACATTATAAATTTATTCTCTGCTGCCTGCAAAATTGTACTCGCGAAACCTTTGTCAAAATTTTTTATACGTAAGATGAAACAGCTTAGTTGAAAAAACTCCTACCATATTCAGACAATGGTGGACGATATTTAATACGTATTATGGTAATTTACTGCGTAGGTGGAAATTAAACGTTTATTTTGTACCCAACTCATGTCGTATTTATTTTGTTAGTTATGTCATATTTGCTCAGTGAGGACTAAAAAGTTTTAAAATAGGGAAGGCTCCAGACAAAAAGAATAATTGTTTTTTTTAACTGCTTTAATTTGTATGCTTAAATTTATATTTTTTACTTTAATACTATTGGCTTTTATAATGAATTTTTGAAGATAAAAAGTGAACAGAGAAAGTCTAATTCTATTCAGCATTAAAAATCATCAATCATTTATTAAATAAATATAACTTGATTTCAAACAACACCGTCTTTGAAGAAGTTCTTAGAATTTTGTATGCATCCATTGCGTAGATATAAATAGTGTCAAATTAATAGAGAATAAAATTATAAATCCACATGAACCTATAACTATTACAGCGTAATTATGAGATTTTAAAAGGAAGAACCAGAAATAATCTACACACATAACGAAATAGTTTATTTTTTACTACTCGCCTTCTGTCAACAGTGATCTGCCTAGAGGATAGAGATTCAAAGCGACTGGTTACTTATGTATGTCAAATCTACTAATGCCTATTTTTCCGTTGCATAATTGATAGTTAGTTAAAAAAAAACAAAATGCAGCTGTTTGATAAGGACTTCTTATTACGAATATTCTTGAAAAGTTGTATCTATTATAATTTCTATTTATTGTAATTGCCATACCCTTTATGGTACACAAATCTAAGCAGTGCCTGGAAAAAGGATAAAATGAGTTATAAGTGTTTTCTTTTTTTGTTAAAAATGCCACTTAATAAGAATTTTAAAGAATTAATTTCAAAAAGTGACTTGTTAGAAAAAAAGGTAATAATAATACAATATTTATTGTAAAAAAGCACAACTGCAGACTTTCACAAAAGGAAAGTGTATGAACAAAGCTGATTTAAAACGCGTACTAAAATAACAGAAAAAGTAAAACATGAAGAAGTAATATTTAAAAAAAATTGATATAAATTTATATACAGGGT